TATATATATATATATCTATACCAGTCCGTTGTGTACTACCGTCCATGGGGACAGTGACGTAGGACAGCATAATGTCCTGTATGGTCAGATAGGGGCTTTGGAACATCAACAGTCACACAAAAAAATGATAAAAGAACCAAGTAGAATATTTTTTGATAAAACTTTTAAACACCTTACTACTAAACATACAATGTTGTGGATGCATTAATCCAACTGCATCTTAGTCATCCAGAATAAAGACAAAAGGTCCCTTCTACATGCTCCTGCTGCTATTTTCGCTTCATAGGGAAATTAATTAAAGTTAATGTGTGTAATTATCTACTCCACTGATTATGCTTATCTTTATGTCATAAAAAGTGTTGTATTGTGATGCTGGCTATTATTTTGTTCACATGATTGTTAATATTATATGTTATTTTACAGATCTGGTTAACATTCATGAGGTGCTTTGACTATCCTATCAGGGATAACACAATCAAACTAACTGTAGTGTGGCTCACTCTGTCATTCGGGTAAGGGTTACTCATGAAATCAAAATGTATCATGTCTATTCAGTTAGCATTCATCTGTGCTAAGCAAGATTTTCTTATACAATAAAAAGATTTTCATCCTAAATACACAGTTTGGCAAAAATAACGTGGTAAGGTAGCCGGTGGCCTTACTTGTTATCAATACAAAATATAAAGATGTGATACACAACTGCTCACAAGCACTGAATTAGGCAAGGTATAGACCTATAAACAATAACCAATAACCAAAAGGAAAGCAACCCCACTCCTTTGCCAACAATGACAGAAACCACTGCTAAATATGAACTCTTCAGCTTATAATCAACTCACCGTCTAATATAATGTTAATTAATAAAATAACTTCATATAATGGATGAACAAAATCTCAACTGCAGAGACCCTGTTATTCGCCCGTTGGATATCACTGTCTTGTCTCCAGCATAGCATAGAGAAGGTGAAGCCAGACTGTCAATCACACCCTGCACATCAAAGACACCTCATCCTATGACAGTCATGTGTCACTGCTCTCTACAAGGCAGTAGGCAGACATTTATGACCAGAAGAAGTGATTTGAATTGTAGATCAGGGCTTAACCTCTGACTTTTGGCAAAAATTTCAACTTTTGCATGTCAATAAAGTTCAAAGGTCAATCTGCGCTAATGGAAAACTTGACAAAAAACAGGGATCTAAAGTTTAGGAGCCTCAATATAACCTCAGAGCAATAGTATAGCGCTACCATCCTCTAATAAAAGTGCATAAAATGTATAGATAACAAATAAATAACAAATAAAAATATATAAATACTGTAAATATGTGAATGGTGAACAAAATTAATCAAAGTGATCAGATGCCCAAACAGTTAATTGTGAAAAATAAGTCCAAACTTTAGGCGTGAAAAAATATATAAAAATAAATTTTAAAAAACACTTTTTTCCGTGAAGAAATATGAAGAAAATAGCATAAAGGAAATCAGCAGACAGCTCTCCCGGTCCTTCCTCCTTCACTCCTACTCCCTCTATCGTTTTATTTCCAATATTCGTTCATATTGAGAAGCAAATAGAAATCCTCATAGTGTAGTAATTAAAGCCTTTATTTCAATAACACATTAAAAGACTCACAATCCGGAAATATAGTGGCCGGCCGGCGAACAAACTAAAACAGCTCCCGTCTCCTCGCGGTACAAAGTGTGACCTGTATGTCTTCCTAACCTGGATTGTTTGGGGAAAGTAGGAAAATATTGGAAACAGCATTTAAAGCAGCTGATAAAGCATATCATGAAGGTTTTTGGAGGGACTGTCCCCCGTTTGAAGCCACACCCCTTTGTCCATCTCCTCAGTTGTCCCTGTTTTTGGTCTTATGTACAGATATCTATGAACAGGTTCTATTGAACTACCAAAAATGTTATTCTGCACTAACATATTTGTCTTATCTCTTAATTATCTTGTTTGCTATTTCAGAAAGCCAGAAAAAAACAATAATTCTGAGTTTAACCAATCGTATATGGCATATAAATTCTTAATGGTCTGCATTACGGGGGGCGGGGCAGGTGTCAATTGCCTAAATGCACTGTGCTGGAAGGTGTCCCTCTTTCTCATCTCAGAAAAAAGGGTCATACAGTTGTGTGCTTGACGTATAAAACTCTCAAGGGGCTCATTTAAAAGTCAGTGGTATGATGCAGCAAAGTACTTTACAATTGTGCTCTGTGGTCCTCTGGCCTCAGGACTCTAAAGCCAAAAGAGCATGTCAGAACTAAATGAAAGTTCGCAAAAAAAAGTGTCAAGAGGATCTCTCAACATCACATGGCCATTATCTCCTCCAATCACAGAAATCTTTCAGCTTCGTTAAGCAAGAGAACTCCATGGGGAGTTTTTCATTTTTTTAATGCAATGAGCTGAGGTGTATAACAGAGAGCTGATAGCGATATCCACTCTCTGGAATAAAGGAGTCCCTTAATCTTCCCTGAGTGGGAAAAAGCTACTCAGGGAGGCACTAGTTATAATGAGGGCTGCAGTGAGCGATGCTGAACCCACATTGGCACTACACTGCACTTTCATGTCAGAGAGCACTCAACATGACTGTATGTTTGTACGTTTGAATGTATGTTTCCAACAACCCCTCTAAAAAGAACTATAGGTGTTCTTTTTATATTATTTGTTGGCATATTTCCTATTTAAGGTTAATAGCCTACATTGGATTCATTTCCACCTAAACAATGATTAGAATCTGAAGCTAAGGAAGCAAACCTTTTTTTTGTAATACCGTATATACTCGAGTATAAGCCGAGATTTTCAGCCCATTTTTTTTTTGCTTATACTCGATTATTCGAGTCAATACTTTTTCCCAGTTTTCTGTGGTAAAATTAGGTACCTCGGCTTATATTCGGGACAGCTTATACTCGAGTATATACGGTATCTTTCAGTGACAAGCCTCACTTCAGCCAACTCTATTTTTTTCCTTTTTATTTAATTTTTTTTAATAGACTAGGGAAGAGATAATCTGTCCACACTGAAAAGAATTCCCATCACTTCCTGTCCTAACAAGAAGTGAGTGGAGATCCCCCAGTAGTGACACAGATGCCAAAAAACGGCATAAGTTTTGGTTGAAGTTAGTCTTTATTAGTTTCTTTTTCGATTATTTTCTCATGTGTGTCTTGTAATTTTTTTTTTCTTCATTTCTACAGCTACTATGGACTATCTGTCTGGTTCTCAGACGTCATCAGGCACCTCCAAGCTGATGAATATGCTTTAAGAGTCAAATATTTTTATGGGGAAAATATCTCCAACTACAATTTTAACTTCACTTTGGAAAACCAGATACATAAAAATGGAGAGTTCAGCAATGACAGGTAATTCATTTTGTTTCAGTCTATATACAGTTTCATGTATATAGTATTTACTTTGTATTTTACAAATATAACTGGCAAACAAGGCATGGTGATCCAATGAAGGTGATCCTGATAGCTGAGCCATTGACCTCTATCTGTACTATAATAAGAAAATATATACTTAACACTATAAAAAAGTATGTGGACACCTACACTATTTAGACAAAAGTAGGGATGCACAATACCGTTTTGGTTTCGGTATACTCGCCGATACCGAGTACCGATACCGGTGCTTCCGCTGGCATAGAGCCAGCTTCCTGGGCAATCAGGAAGTCGGGCAGCGGGTAATGACATGCCGTCTGCTTCCCGATTGCCCTGGAAGCTGGCTCTATGTTGTTTGGCCGGCTCAATTATGAATGGCTGGGAAACAGGCTTCCCAGCCAATCAGCATTGAGCGGGCTTCCTGGTAGTATAGTTATTGGTGCATCCCTAGCCAAAAGTATGTGAACGCCTATCCAAATGATTGGGTTTTGGAATTTCCAGTGAAGGGTACAGTTAGGGCTACGGTATGCAAAAACATTTTAGACTTTTGTGTGCTTCCAACCTTGTGGCAACAGTATGGGGGAGTCCCTTTTCTGCTCCAGTGAGGCTATGCCCCTATGCACAAATCTAAGTCCATAAAGACGTGGTTTTTAAGAGTCTACTGTGGAGTCTGCAAATGGCCTACACAAAGCCATGACTTCAACACTATTTAAAACCTTTGGAATGACAATTGTGAGCCAGGTCTAGGTCTTCTCCAAGCATTAGTACCAACATTAGGTCAAATATTAGTACCCCACCTAACAAATGCTGTTTTGGCCATTTGGGCACAAATTCTCACAGGCACACTCCAAACTTTTGTGGAAAGCTTTGCCAGAACAATGTAGGCAGTTACTGTATATCAGCAGAGGAGGGGAAGAGGGGGCAACTCCATATTATTACCTATAACTTTGGAATGGGATGCCAACACACTCATATAGGTGTGCTAGTCAGGTGTCCCCAAACAATTGGCCATATTTTGTATATTAGATGCAATATTCAGTTTCTTTACCTTAGTTGTGTATTCTAATAAGCTCCAAGCTCTGCAATACAATAGATTAGTACATCCTGACAGCAGAACATTTCACAATTGATTATTTGCATGTGGTTATTTACCATTACTTCCACGTCCTTGCATCACTTAAATGTTACCTTTGTGTATGACAGGTTCATCTCGATGAAGTTCAAGTCAGTTGTGTTCCAGGATTCTGTGTTTGAGAAAAGTTACTTTGAAGATGTTACATCACTGAACACATACTTTAGGAATTGCACCTTCATAGAAGCACATTTTGTGAACACAGGTAGGGCGTCATGACTCAGAGGGGAAGTTGCTAAGATGGCTCTGCTCACCTGTGGTTTCTTTCATTCTACGCAGCTGGTGGTTGAGATGTTGTCAGTTAGTATTGTCAGTTATTGCTATAACACACTGTTATGGGGATTATCTGCTGGAACGCACATCACGGCTGCTACAGCTGATTCATTTTCAGTGCCAGTGTGGAACTGTCTTTTACCACTGATGCCCCCAATACAAGATACAGTACACACTCTATTGTAGTAGTAAGCTTTGTGTTATAGAATGACTTAAAGTGTATGTCAAGCCAAAAATTTTTTTTCTAGTTTTAGCGTGGGAAAAGACTAGAAATCCTGCCAGGTTTTTACTGCTATCCAGGGCTCCGTTAAGCTCCCTCAATTCCTGTCCTGTTGACAACAGGTAACCAGACAGGAAGTGAGGAAAATCTGCAACACGGACAGAAATAAATAGACATGGGTTCTAGTCTTCCTCTACTCTACTGAAATAAATATTGTTTGTTTCTTTCTCTGCATTGCTTCCTGTCTAGTAAAACATTGTCAGCAGGACAGGAAGTGAGGGGAAAACTGTTAATGGTAAAGTTAGAATTTAGCTGGGGTTAAGTGCTAGGCTAAGGGCTAGATAAACACTCTCTACTTCGAGTCCGCTCTGGCACCAAAATAAAGCAGGACCAAAATCCTGGAAATATAATGCATCACCTACCTTCAGGAGTTCCCGCTTATTAAATTAGTCTAAAAGTGATGAGGAATCCAACAGAGACAGCGGGACCTCCCATAACAGGTGTGGCATGGATGCAGCTTTGGAGTCCTCGAGAGACAGAAAAAGACTACCTTCTGGAGTCCCAAGACAAAGAAGAAACCGTTAGGTGGTACAAGTCTCCATCATAAAAAATTCAGGGAAGCTGAGCTAAGAGAGATGGAGCCAACTGTTTAAAAACATGATGACTAAATACTTGGGCAAAATATAAAGAAATACTTTGCTGGACAATATAATATAATGTATTGTTTGTTGGAAGGCTAATGTGTTAGCCTGAATTTGTGGGTGGAGTCTGCGCCTCCTTACCTCTTAAAAGCACCGCTGATCAGTCTGTGTGGGACGGGAGGTTTTCAGCGCAACCCTCCCACCCGTCCCTTGGGCCATTACAGTCATGAGTTCATCTCAGTTCACTCTTCACACCATCAGAGTATGCCCCCTTATTGGCATTACTGACCACCCGGACCATGGCACACCTCAGATCCTGTCATATAGCAATCCTCATGTGAAGTGGACTCCTTACACAAATATATATATATATACAGTATATATATACACACACACATATATACAGTATACTGTGTGTGTATATATATATACTGTACCAAGAACATTTGTTTTTGCCTCTATTTGCAAAGAACAAATTGCAAGGTGAACTGCTCTGTGGATTGTTTATAAATAGACAATGGCATTAGGTTTATGATTTTTACTGTTTCTCAACCTGAAGGGCCCATGCTGAAAACTATCAGTGCTGGGAAAATACCATGCTCAGCATGCTACTGTGTTAAGGGAAGGATCAGAACCTAGGTTATTGTTTGAGATTACCTTTGCCAATTATCCATGTTGCTGTTAAAATCCTAGGACTATCTCTCTTTACCTCTTGCTAAAGTATATATACAGTATATATATTAGGGATGCATCGAAATTTCGGCCGCTGAAACATGTTGTCCAAAAATGGTACTATGGGCAAAATGCAGATAATACCAAAACAGGCATCCCTAGCTTCTCTCCTTCCCGCTGGTCTGTGTTGGCAGAGGCATCGGGGATCGGAGGGGACACAGAGCTAATCCAGCTACCAGCATCCAGCGAGGAGGAGAGAAGCTGTCAGGAGGCTGAACAAGGAGGTGCGGGGAGGAGAGAGCTGCCAGCTATCAGTGACCGGCAGATCAGTCAGGATGGAGGGTGAACTACAAACACTCAGCGATCAGAACTGATTGCTGAGTGTTTGTAAATAACTGAGGACATAGTATGCTTACTGTGTCCCTAGTTATGAATGAACAGGAAGTGCGCTACAACACTTTCTGTTCATTCATGATTGTGGACATAGTAACTCATACTATCTCCACAGTTTATGAATGGATAGGACCACTCAGTATAGAGGCTTCCTGTTCATTTATAACAGGGGTTGCAGAAAGAGACTCTGTGTTCTCATTCCCTTTTTTCTATTTTAAAAGGGAAAGATCAAGGGTCTTTTTAGACCCCTGATATTTCCCCAAAGCCCCTGACGTTAAAGTTCAAAAAATCGTAATAAAGAATTTTAAACATTTTAAAAAGGTTAAAAAAATAAAAGGTATTTTCGGTTTTAGCCTGACAAATTTTTTAGTTTCGGTCTAAAAATGTCATTTCGGTGCATTCCTAAGGTATATAGTATTTATTTTATTTGTTAATTTTATAGTATCATAATCCCATGTGGCAGTTGACTGCACAATGTTTTATAGCACATAATAAAATGACTTGATTACATGAAATACACTAGTACATGCAGTCGTTTAGCATAATGTAGCAATAATAAGTAACCCTAGGAGAGAGAGAGAGACCTGCCTGTATGAGCTTATATACATATATCATTTTTTTACACATCATCACATATTTATTGTACATCATTGATTTCCATACCATGCTCGTAAATAGCTGCCTATATGGATTTGTTACTATGAGGGGCAAATCAGATGCTTCCTTGCACTCTGCGTGCATTGTAGTAATGTGTCTAATTCTACTGGAACTATATTATCTACAACCTCATAGAAGCAATACATTACCAAAGCCAGACTTTTTTTTATGAACATAGATAAAAGGACTTCTAAAAAACAGTGTAGTCGCAGAAAGCAGCTTGTGTTACTGCAGTAATTGTCTTGTTTCCACACAAGCCTGGAACACATGAGTATAGCGCCACCTACTGTACATCAGAGGAGTAACATGGGTATAAATTAGAGACAGAGTTAGTTACATCCTGTATGTCAGTTGATTTGTTCTAACAAAATAGCCATTTTTAATATATCGCTTTTTACATTCAAGTTGAAGCTGCAAAAAGGTGTCCATGCCCCCTTCTTCCTTTGTGTTATGCTGCTTGAAAGGGAGGGAAATCTTCTGTTGCATTTTGGGAGATGAACCTGTTTCTGGCGTAGACCCGCAGAGCTGAAACTACAGAGAAGTAACCACACCCTGGTCCTCATTTTTTAATGAATCCAAATGTGACTGCAGAAAGTAATGGACATGTATATATTTACAGAATTGTTTTTTCTATGTTGCATTACATTTATACACGTTGTGATCTGGTTAGATGCCAGTAGTCATTAAAGTGATAATAAAGTCAAAATGCTGATTAAAAGACTTACAATGGATGCTGCTCCTTTGATGTTTAAAGTTCTAGCTTCCTGAAACAACAGTTTGTGCAGCGCTTTACAAAATGAAAGAAGACAGTACAATTACAATACAGCTCAATACAGGAGGTTGAGGAGGGTCTTGCTTGTGAGAGCTTACAATGTAGTAGGAGGTGCAAGTGATGCAATAGACATTTATTGTGAGGGATGAGCTGGTTGAAGAAGTAAAAGTACAATTATTATCTGGAGGTGGGATAGGCTTCCCTGCAGAGATGAGTTTTCAAGGTTTGCCTAAAAGTAGGCAGAGGAGAGAAGTGGACAGATTGGGGTAGGGAGTTCCAGAGAATGGGAGAGGGTCTGGAGAAGTCCTGGAGGCCAGCATGGGAGGAGATGAACATAGTTTCCTGAAAACATCATAGCCTTCTGCCTCAGTATTCCCCCAAGACCCCTCAGTCTTAATGCAAGCAATGAGCTGGCTCATATGAGGAGTTATGGAAATAACGAAATACTTTACCTTCATGGGGCAAGTATCAGTCTGCAGGTGTGGACATTCTTACACAGACTGCATTTGCCATTTGACCACCCTAGGTAATACACATGTGTGATGCAGAGCCTTCATGATCTAAAGAACTGAAAAACAATAAATGAGTGGTGTGCTGGGGGCAGTCAGGCTGGGGAGGAAAGATAAAGGTTATGCTGAATGTCCTCCATCCAGGAAATGAGGCGGGCTTTATCTTACTTGCTGCAGATTCTAATGCACCCTGTGAGAAACTCACAGTGTGCAGTGAAATAGGAGTAAACAATGTCAGTACAGAAGGAACCTGTGCAACTGTGCAAGACTGAAGGGACGGCTGGAGCTTTAACGGCTTACAATAACAAAATGTTTTTCTATCTGTGTGAATTTATATATATTTGCATGCAGAGTTTTGTTACGAATCCCATTTGCTTTTGTTTGCACAGATCTTGAAAGATACAAGTTCACTGACAGCGTACTTATCAACTGCACATTTGAGGATATGAAGGTCGGATGTCAGATCACCTTTGATGATGACTACAGTGCCTACTGGATCTACTTTGTGAATTTCCTGGGCACCTTGGCTGTTCTTCCAGGCAATATTGTATCAGCTCTTCTAATGGACAAGATTGGCAGGTTAACAATGCTGGGTAAGTTGTCCTATCTCACTACTATATATCCAGTATTAGTTTTTACTGACATGTTCTATGCATCTGGTAGCCCGGGATACATTTGGACTGACAGACTCAGCGGGTAAGGAGGGTATATTATCTAATGTATCCCTATTGTGTGTTGAAGGGCACTTATCTTGGGCACAGATTCCTGCTGATCAGAGCTTCCCGCCTAGCTCCTGGCAACCAGTGACTTAGGATGCTCTGGCTGGAAAGGGGGCGGCAGGCACACTGCAAACATTGCTCAGCACAGCTGTCATTCCCCCCCCCCCCCACCCCATTTGACCCAAAGAGATGCCACCTGAGGCAACTGCCTCATTATAGGGGTGGCCCTGGTTCTAATCCTTCCCCATACAATCCAAAACTAGATAAATGCACTTGAGTTGACTAATGTGATTTTAACTGGAAACATTGCACACATATCTAAACAGAGTATAACAAAGAGATCTTTGTGATCTCTCCACTGGCTCAGTGACTGTAAACACTGTGCCCGCAGTTTTGGTGTTGTGCTCGGGGTGATTAGGGTGTGCCCACGCCTATAGTATCACTATAAATATGGGTATGTTCCTGAAACTCAGTAGAACTGAAAAGGCTAATTGGATGAACAGTAAAACTTCTTTAACATTACCGAACAGGTCCAGTTGAATGTGAATACCTGCTACTAGGTATGCCTTGACCTGGATAAATGAGAACCTTCACAGACATATCTACAGAACCTCCAGTTTTTGTTGTATAACTCCTTCTGGCTCTACTATCTCTGTAAGGTACCCCACTGGAGTCACCAGACATGTCATAGTTGAAAGATGCTCTCAGCTGATTATGTGCTCAGTTCACTCAAACTATGCTCAAGGTATAACCATATACTATTTTATCAAGTGTATGTATTTGGGGATAGACTAAAGAGGGATTTAAACCCCTATCAATTCATTTTTGCAGACCGTGCCACATTGGGAAGATTTACCTTCACTTCCTGTCCTGGAGACACTAAAGGCAATAAAAAGAAATCCCATCTCCTACAGTTGTCATTTGAACATTTGTTGCCATTAGAAGATTTACCCTCACATTTTGCTTTCATGACAATTCTAAAATTTTAAATTTCCCCTCACTTTCTATCTTAGCAATAATGCTCACTAGAACAATTAATGGTGACTCTACCTGAGGGGAGACAAACAGCAATAAAAACTCGACAGAGGGTCTAACACCTCACTACTTCAGCCAAAGCTTACATTAATCATTATTTTAAGATGCTCCTGGTATTCTGCATTGCTGTATAATGGATTGCTGGGATTTGTAGTCCTCTATAGCTGGTGGTATTCTCCATTGCTGTATAATGGATTGCTGGGATTTGTAGCCCTCCATAGCTGGTGGTATTCTCCATTGCTGTATAATGGATTACTGGGATTTGTAGCCCTCCATAGCTGCTGGTATTCTACATTGCTGCATAATGTATTGCTAAGATTTGTAGTCCTTCTACAGCCCAAAGTCAGTGGCAGAACAACCAGGGTGGCAGAAGTTGCAGCTGCAACTGGGCCCTTGTGCTCCACCACCCCTAGGTATCGGTAATTGGTATTGGCGAGTACTTGAGAAAAGGTATCGGTACTCGTTCTTGGTCTTGAAAAAATGGTATTGGTGAATCCCTAAAATTATGAATTAAGTCTGTTGTCCTAAATACAGTGAGTTTGGACCAAAATCTATTTTTTTTTTCATAGAAGGTGAGTGGTAAGCTAGTAGTTGGAACAGAGTATTCTCAACATATCTGAAAACTGAAATATAACATTTGATTATGAGAATGAGAAGTACCACAAAATGAAACTCTACTTCTTGATGCAATGTGTTTATTACTGTGTATTTTACAGGAGGCTCTATGGTACTTTCTGGTGTCAGCTGTTTCTTATTGTGGTTTGGTACCAGTGAGTCTATGATGGTGGGAATGCTCTGCGTATACAATGGTCTTACTATTTCGGCATGGAACTCTCTTGATGTAGTCACTGTGGAGCTCTTTCCAACAGATAAACGGTAAGTATCATACACAAAAGAAGTTATATGTGCATTAAAGGAAACACTTTTTCATTTGATCGGACCCTGATTGCAGTGAAATTACTTTAATCTATACTGGTAAGGAATTTCCACCACCAAGTTTGTTCTTCCCCTTCCTAAGATTCCTTCATTCAATTTAGAAACAGCTGGTGTTTCGTTATGAGTGATTGGTTCTACAACCCTGATAGATTTTTTAATCATCAGGAAAGATAATTGGCATCAAGGCTTTCAAAATGGGCCAGAGAAAAATTAACTGTGACAATCTATCTAAGTAATTGACTCCAAATGTCCATCATCTGGTACAGCTGTAGAGTTATAAAATAATACAATGCTTTATAGAATGGGTGGTACAGGGTAAAAATAGAAGGATATTTTTTTAAAGTATACCTTTTAAAACTAAAACAAGAATAATGGACTTTAAAACAAGAATAATGGAAGAGAGCTTCATGTGATTGCAGCTTCTCTGCATTTGTTGTCTATTGTTGCTTTCTTCTGTGTTACACTGCTCCTGCTGAGTTCTCTATAGAAATTCAGAATGTGGGCAATGTGTTAAAGGATAAGTCCCCCTTTTGCAAAAATGTAAGAAATGCATAATTAATAATAATATAAAAAATATGCATTTCTCTAATTTTTGCTTTCAAGCCTGGAAAGCATTGCAATTGTGATCACAGGATCACAGCTGCAAAGCTCAGGCTTCTGCGCATTCTCTCCCAGGCAGAGCTCATACTGAGGTACAGAGTTTCAGTTAGGAGAGATGGAAGAAGGACGTCTAGACTTCAAACTGCATTTATCCTGCAATACAAATTACATTGTATTGTCTGAGAGACAACAGCCAACAATATTGTATAGTGACTGGACAGTGTGTAAGCAGTTTGGTTAGGCCATAATATAAGAGGGATGGACGAGGTAGGTTTTTCTTGGAATAAAGAGTATTATTTGAGAGACACAAGCCGCAAATATTAAACAGTGGCTAGGTAGTATGTAAGCAACTTGTTAAGGCCAGTATAAGAGAAGGAGAGACAAGACAGGTCTTATCTTGAAATAGAAATTAGAGTGTATTATTTAAGAGATCATAGCCACAAATATCATACAGTAGCTGGACAGATCTGCAGTTATTGCAGCTCCAGATGCTCCTTGGAGCTGCTGAAAAAGATACACTATACACGCCCCTTCCCCCCCTCCAGTTCCACTGGTCTGAGCCCCGCTTTGAACAATACTTTTGGGCTACAACTCTTCTCCTGTATAATCTATGGGAAATCTCCTGGCCTGGGCTGCCCCAAAGTGGAAGATTTCCATCTGCAATTTGTTTTTAAATGTTTTTATTTTCATATGTATCTATATGTTTAGTTTTTATCTGTATTTTGTATATTGATCCGGTGGATGGGCTATACACAACAGTAGCTAGGCACATCTGCACTTCTTCTGCATTGCCAGCATAATCTTTCTTTTTCAGGCACAGCAGGCAGTTGTATTTTTTTCAAAATATTTTTTTATTTAATTATAGACAGGGCATAGCTACAGGGAGAAAATCTACACTGTAGGCTACCTACCCTCTCGCAATGCCGGGAAAGGGCAGTTAGCAGCAAATGACTCATTATTTAAATGGCCATATTGAAAAGATCTGCATCAGTCTTCTTCTCAATACAACATACAAGAAAAGTGTGCGGTTGGTCATCAGTTGTGCAGAGCTTTCCCAAGTTGTTTGAAAATACATATAATGACCAAATACAAAATCTAGAGGTGTTCTTTATTTATTCTTACTCCGATTGTTGTATTAGCAATCTATCCCTTGCTGAGACCTCTATGCCTGGCCGGTATAAGCAGATACAACCACCAAGGACAATCTTCATCAGATAGCTGAACTCACCAAATACCTTTACATCCACAAAGTGCTTTATTTCGTGCAGCAGGTTACAGCAGACAACAGGATTCAGCAGATGAATGAATAGATGGCATTTAAAGGTCTAGGATGATAATGTTACCAGGCTAGCATGTGCATGTGGTCCTGTTACAAGTAGCCATGACACTAAAACAACTAATGGAGAAGAAGGGCGGTAAATTACACACAAGAGGAAATACATAATAGTTGGGAGGGAACACAGAAAAACATGCAATAATCAGAATGACCACAAGATGTCAGCACATGAACCAGCTACAATGCTGCTCACAATATATGGCTTAAAGAAAATGAACCATATAAATTCTCTTTTCACATTAATGTGAATACTGACTATGACTATGAATTTTCATATTCTATACAACTATTGTGGCAGCACATTATTGTTCCATTGTTGACCTTTACACATCACCTTATCATTATCCACAGCTTTGCTTAAATTCTGAGGATTGGATCAAATATTAACAGGGGTTTTCAAAGGCATTAGATACTAAGAAATAGATCCTTCACCAGTCATATCACGCTATAAACAATGCACCAAAACTACAGCACACAGTGTGGCATTGTGGATGCATTTTTACATAAGTTGACAATGTTCAGGAAAGGACATACGTATGAACAATGCCAAGATACATACACAAATGTTGTGACCTTTCATTTTCAATGTGTGTTTCCTTACAGATCCACAGGATTTGGCTTTTTGAATGCACTGTGCAAAGCAGCAGCTGTACTAGGAAACTTAATATTTGGCTCACTCGTTGGAATCACCAAAGCCATACCAATTCTCCTTGCCTCAACCGTGCTGGTTTGCGGTGGTCTGGTGGGACTTCGACTGCCAGACACAAGAAACCAGGTGTTGATGTAAACGGAAACAAAAGCCATCTCCAATATTACTTTTTCTGATTTTTCTTCATAACAATCAGCCTAACAGATACAAAATACTCAACCAAAATCATTGAGAATCCCAAACACATTCTGCTCCCAAGATGTAGATGTTTTTGCTGTGCAATGTATGTAGAACAAACGCTGTCTGACATACCCTGCTGTTATTTACCATTTTCACAAGCTTTAAATTGTGTGTATGTTTTTATGATTTCATCCAAACGTACATTCTTCAGTGACCCTTTCAGCATTAAACAGTATCTATAGCCTCACAGAATGCAGGCACTTACAGTAAGCAAGTTATACAAGTGGATAAGACCAGAACAATTTGTGCATGGGCTATGAAGAAAACCCCCACACCTACCAAAAACTCTCCATGCCTCAGTTATAATTAGACCAGCTTTATGCCATGTCAACAGTACTAACTATACTGCAGGAGCTATGTGTCTAGGATTACAGAGGTATCTCTTGCCTATGGACCTTCAGTAAGGGATATTGGTCTCCATGTTCTATTCATATACAGGAGTACACTTCCAACGAATGGGCCATGCAGTGGGCATAGATCCTGAGACACCTCCCCCAGCACAGGAAAAATACCTGGAAGCCCTTGTTTTAAATAACAAATATTAGCATCATGTGGGGCAGTCTGTGATAACATAATCACACTACAACCTTGAGCATATCTTTTGCTCCATGGAACTTCAGTAAACCTGTGCTTCGAACTCCAGGCAGAAGAAAACGTAACCCTTGCAGTGGGGCTACCCCCTGCACTGCAAGGGTTAAGCGCTTGTTTTTGTCTTGGGTGTAAAATAAAAAAATATATATTTTAGACCCTAGACCAAAACGAGCACCTCACCCATGCAGTGTGGGGGCAGCCCCACTGCAAGGGTTAAGTTTTCTTCTGCCTGGAGTTCTTCTTTAATTCCTCCCTCCCCAGCAGTACATACACACCCCTCCTTCACTGTGATGCTGCTCTGGTCCACTGCCAAGAGTGAGTAAATGAAGTCACTTTGCACTAGCTGGAGGTTACACATGGCTGAGGGCCCTTTCCCCTCCCCATGTGACAGCTCTGGGCAATTCACCAGGCACCATCACTATCATATGAGAGGAATGGGAAAGAGTGATAAATGTCTTCATGACCAGATGTACTGGTTATTTTTTTTTTTTTTTTTGCTCCTGGCAGTTTAACAGGAAGGTGTGGGGTTCAAAGAAAAGGTAAATATACTGGGTAGAGGGCATATAAGTAACCCTGTTCCTTTGCCCTGCATGGTCAGAGCACAGGTCTGTTTTAAGGTATGTTTTTGGGGTGATCCCACCTAACGCATCTCATAACTTGCTCCATAACATTCATTTAGGTGTTTTATAAAGGTAGTTCTGCAACTGCAAGATTTGAGGTTTTGCCTAATATCTATTACAAGTGTTCCTCAGTTTAGGTTGTTTTTTTGGTAAATACTTGAAAAGCATTTGTGCCAATTAGAAAGCGAAATAATAGTTTTCATAAAGATTAGGCTCTTTTTTACAATACAATGTAGTAATCATAACATGAATAAGAGTCATTAATTATTTTTGTAATTTTTTGGTATGTGGAGGATTCAGGGGTTCCAGGCAGACAAATATGCAGGCAACATTAACCAGAGGATATCAAGGCTGAATGTAGTGATTAAACTGATATGCAATTGGTGGCAATGAACTTCTCATGCCACAGTTCAGTTTAATGTGTCACCTCAAATGCATACTGTATATCTAGATAACAAATATTATGTAGTCACAACAGTAGAACAGCATATATCCCAGTCTACATTTTATTTATTTTAAATAATGTTGGAACATGAAAGCTACAGTCTCAAGGAACATCCAATCAGTACAAAATAACATGTACACCTTAAAATAACCCATTGACACCCCTCCCATACATCAGCAATTAAACATTGTTTGTTTTGTTCTTTTCCATTATTAGCTGAGTATGAAAACAGTATTAGCATTATAGTTTATTTTCCACAGTCACTAAAGAGAGCCCCGCTGCTGTTTTAAATAAACGTTTTCTGACTGATTTGCAGAAATTCAACGAGCCAGGGATTTAATAGTTGAGCCTGATGTAAATCACTTAGAGCAATCTACAGAGATGTATCTACAAACAAATTGCACCGGTGGCGTCCTGACAAGCTCCTGGCAACCAGTGACATCACTGGGAGGCAGGCGCTGGACAGGAAGCGACCATACGCAACTCCCAACCCGACTCCTAGCAACCTGGGATGCTCTGGCCAGCGTCCCACCAGCATATACATCTCCCCACCCGCTTTGGTAGGGGAGATGTGTATGCCTCTTACACATCTCCCCGTCTGGCTTTTAGCAACCAGAGATGACCTTGCCAGTATCCTGCCTAGTTCCTGGCAACCAGTGATATCATTGGTTGCCAGGAGCTGGGAGGGACGCCAGCCATAGTGTCCCAGGTTTCTAAGAACCAGGCGGAGAGATGTATGTGAGTAGGGTTGGGAGAGAAAAAGTCAGTCATCTCCGTCGTTTGGTGATCTTTTGCTGACCAACGGAGAGTGGTGCCCCTCCCCCAAGTGGTTTCCAGGTAATTTGCCATATGTGGCATACCATGGATACGCCACTGGTAATGAAAAAAAATATATATATATAAATATATATACTAGGGATGTCCCGATGCCACTTTTTCAGGCCCAACTACAAGTACAAGTACATCCCTACATGTGCTTTTTCTTAAAGGGACAGGTGACTTTAAATGATCCATAGTACAACTACATACTACTGCTCAAAATGGCATTTTGCTACTTGAAACAATATTTAGTCGACTGTTTCTTAACAATGCTGACAGTGAGACATTTTCATGATGACTATTTTGAGGAACTGGGATTCATATGTGTGTTCTCCAATGGTGATCTTCTAAAGAGTACAGTATATTATATAGATTGTATTCAAAGGCACAGGACTGTATGTTTCTTAGTGTTAGCATAGTACATTTACTGCTGTCCATGCAGTTTGAACCTTTTAAATATCTCTAATCCCTCTTATGGCTGATATCTGTATGTACAAGGCTATTTGAACCCTGAAGTCTGCTTCCTTCATGCATAGCAGCATTGGAGACCAATGCATAAAAACTGGAGATAAAGTGGAGGTGCTTCCTGTGGTACCAAATCCAAACTGAGCCTTCATTTTCTAACTTGCACTACAAAAATTACAGCCTAGCTGGATTGCTATGGGCATTACTTCTGCTCTATTCTTTCATCTTGTTTGTATACATCAACTCCAAAATTAAAGGGGATGGGTTCACAGCAATAAACCCATGTAATTGCAGCATTTTACACTGCTGAATTTTAATACTGTTTACACATCAATGACAAAGCTCAGACATTAGTGACTTATTGTACTGTCAGGATTTAAACACTATTATCACAGTGTGGCTAGATAGATTATATTGCATTAATAAAATCTAAATACTGCAATATGGATTACATAAAAAATATTTATAATAATTTAAATATATACATATATGCTGTATATCAAAACAAATCATTTTACATTTAATTAGAAAATATAATACATTATTTTCGGATAAAATTACTTTTTTTATTGCGCACATGTTTACATTTTGCCTAACAGTGACACTGAAGCCTTAAAGATTTTCAGGCAGATTTAATATTGAAGCAATCTATGTGCTTATTTCAAATAGCTAATCAAGTTAAAGGAGATTTATACGGGTTTTTGTCTCTTTCCCTTTTTTTTTTTTGGTCCCGGAATAAAAAATAAAATTTTAAAATATTTTATTTCAAGTTAATCAGGTAGTATATTTAGCCAGCAGATAGAGAACTCTATGCGACAAGCTTTCTGGAATCTCAGATAACCGTTGCTGTTTTGGAACTAATGATTTTCCTCCTGGCTCCTTTGACTTTTCAGTCAAAGGATGTTGGGAAGAAGGTGGTAAAAAGGGCCACACACTGAATTAATTTCATTAAGAATCGGATATAAGTCGCTCAATGTATGGCCAGCTTTACTGACTCTGAGCTGCACACATGATGGGGTCTATTCACTAAAGGGTGAAGAGTTTGGAGAAGGCAGGAGAAGTAATCAATCTCGTCAAAAATAGCTGATTTGGATTCAGCTCACTTTCCAGTTCAGCTATGTTGTCCTAGACTGTTCACTTCTCCTGCCTTCTCCAAACTCTTCACCCTTTAGTGAATAGTCCCCGATGTCTTTAAGCATGCAGGCAATGCTGGACTTTCTTGTATTACATTTTTGTTTGTAAAAATTATAAATATAATCTAATATGTAACATAAATTTAATCTAAATATAAAATCTAATCGATCAAAAACAAATGATTTTCCTCTAAAGTTTTAACTAGCTATTTGAAGTGAGCACATTATAAAGAAATTATGACTTTAAAATGAGGGACTATGCAATACAGAACGCTTTGAATCTCTTATTAGCAAGAAACCCATTTTATACAGATCGATATAAATGCATTACAGATTGGCAAATAAGGATTAATAGCATGCTGCTAAGTAAAAAAATAATCATGTGTAGGTTGCCCCGTTTCTACTCTTTCTACTATGAGTTGTGTATGAATAAAAAGGATGATAGTAACAAGAAAAATGAGAAATCCAGTTAATTTAAGAAAACAAATATTTTATGCTTCCATGTTATATATTATAAAATGTATTTCAATATCTATATTTGTTTTAGCCTAGGACTATATAATACATTTATACTTATGCCAGTATTACATGCAGTGGTAAATGCATAGATATTTGGCACCTCACCTAACACTGTAGCATGTATGATTCCATTAAGATTGATGGGGAAATTGGGCTGTTGGGAAATTTTATTACACATTTGCATATCTGCTAAACCATCAAAACAAAAGGCAAATAAAGACGTGAGAGATTGTGTGGCAGTCCCTCAAGGAATTATAGGGGTGGCTAAACATAAATTCATCCTGTCATATGGTGCTTGTGCCAAACTCGACACTTGGTTGATTTGTTGCTGGTATGAGATTCTGTTCTGGAGAATAGTGGTAATGAGAAGTAATGTTAGGTTCTGGGTTACATGAAAACACCAGCAGATAATTAATGTGGCTTCTCTACAATGTAGGAAAGAGGTCTATTGTATTTTCTTTATGAGCATTTATTATTTATGTGTTACTGCATGTAAAAATATTTGGAATTGTGTTTTTAAAAAATGATTTGCATGTGTTAAAGAAAAGGTATTATACATTCAAGCTCTTTGTTTTGAAAATGTTTCTTAAAGTAAAATACTACTCTATGTGGCTAGTAATAGTTAT